TAATCTATCTAAATATATATATATATTTTTACACAAAAATTAAAGCTCACACGCACGAGCTTACGTTTTTTCCATGTACGTGAATCGTGTATTAAAAAAAAAAACAAAAAACAAAAAAAAAGGAAGATGATGCTCTTTGTACAGTAATTATATGTAAACGCAATTATAAACGCGGTATTATATCACAAATGAAACATTAAGAAAAATCTTCATTAAAGCGTAAAATAGTTATGTAATGATAATTCATTGATCTAACTCGAGGATATTTTCCATAGTATTATTCCATTTGCAATCTGATTTCGTTTTATACAATCTTCCAGTTTGATTATTTAATTAGAGGAAGAAAAAAGGAGATATGATCTTAATATTATTGTAATACAATTGTAATTCGTGTGATTAATGTTTATACATACACATGATATTACAGTAATATTAATTTGCTACGTATCGCTGCCTTTTTTTTTTTTCAAGGCACAGAATCTGTTTAAAAGAAAAAAAGAGAGATACTGTACGAGATATTTGGAGAAATGTGTTATTTTATTCTGAAGATTCTGTATACGATCCGACATCTGTATATTTCCCATTATCATTTGCGTTCGCCAACGTGTAACGCTTTGCTGTTGCTTGTAAGCTCGTTAATTAATTATTATCGTTCAAACGTATTACTAGGATTTACTATTACCACAACTTGTTATTGTTTTATATTTTAATGTATTATACCGATTCGTATCTTGAGGGGGAAAGAATTTGTCGCGTCTCTGTGTGTGTATCTTTTACGTTCGTCTCTCTCGTGAACAATTTCGAGGATATTATTTTTAACGAGAATTAAAATGATCGCAGAAATGTGAGAAGAAATTGCGAGAAAAAATTCGGAAGAAAGAAAACGAGCGCAGATCCACATATTCCGTGCGGAAGCAACTTTTCTCTTTGACATCAAGTAGCATAATCTGTAGGCTCTAAGTGATTCTCCAGTAGGATTTGTACATATAATTAGTAGAATAGCGATTGGTATCTGTGCTACTTTGCGGTAAAATGTTAATCATTAAGCGGATAGAAATTGACGAATCGTCACAATCTGATCGTCGGTGTATGCAAAATGGACAAATCAATCGTCATTTCAATTTACATTCGACTAAAGAAAATTACTTTTGAATCTCCGATTCAAAACGATGCTCGAAACGAGATCATTTTATTTTTCGAAATCTCTAAATGGAAATGATGATGGAAGAAATCGTGATCTCTGTGAAGTGTGAGAAAACGTGAAACTCGAGTTATTAAAAGTGCAATTTGAAAGAAAGGTATCTGAAGAAACGAAAAAGAAAAAAAAAAAGGAAATGAAAAGAGAAGCCTTGATCGTGGTTAATTGATAAATGCAATTGAACGATTGATTCACTAGTCTCGTTATACTCTGTTCTAGTGTAACACACATTTCCCTTTTCTACTAATAACCCATTAACATATCTACCGTTTAATTAATCTGAGAATTTATCGTCGCTCGTGCCGTCAGGCGACGAATAGTACTATTTATGTATATTTGAACAAACAAACAGAAAAGGAAACGCATGTAAATGTTATATTCACGTATTTATGAACGTATTCGTTAAGACAAATACATATATACATACACGTAACGAATCTGTATTCGTAGAAAATAAAGATATTGCTCCAAAAAAAGGTGGCCTTGCTTTATTTTTACGAAAATTCTGAATTTCAAAAAGTAAGGAGAATTAGGAAGGCGACGAAGGAAAAAGAAGAGGAGAGTGAAAATTTTAAAAGGAAGAAAAGAAAGAAAACTGAAGAAAACGATGGAAGAAGAGGAGAATAAAAGTATACAAATTCAAAAAGGAAGGAAAATAAAGAAGACGATGGAAGAAGAAGAGAATAAAAGTTCAAAAATTCAAAAAGGAAGGAAAATAAAGAAGACGATGGAAGAAGAAGAGAATAAGAGTTCAAAAATTCAAAAAGGAAGGAAAATAAAGAAGACGATGGAAGAAGAAGAGAATAAGAGTTCAAAAATTCAAAAAGGAAGGAAAATAAAGAAGACGATGGAAGAAGAGGAGAATAAAATATCACAAATTTAAAAAGGAAGAAAAATTAAGAAGACGACGAAGGAAAAACAAGAGAAGGATAGCAGTTCAAAAATTAAATACTCGATGAATCTTCAACACTAATTTATTCAGAAATAAAGCTATACATAAAGAAAATGTTACCCTACATTTTCAAATTATTTCTTAATCTAAATTCACCCCTTTTCTGGTTGTACCACCAGTTCGAAAACGCTCTGCATATTTAACCTTATACGATTAATATAACATATCCAATACCTGGTGTTTCTCTCTCGTATTACACAAATATCTCTAAAATCGCATTATCATTCCTCGACACAGATTTTCATTGATTAACGTCTCCTACTTCACAAGAAGCGCCATATTTATTTACCTTCCGGGACGCGTATCCGCGAAATGAGCGCAGCATGGGTTAAAGAGGATCTACCACGTGAAAATTCGTCGATTAAGCGACTCATGGTAGCCAAAAGTGTGACGTGGACAGACGAGAATATCGTTGGTGAACTGAAAATAGCAGATGTGATTTCCGCGTCTGCTCGATGTCCGCTTGTCTTCGCCATTCCGGCCACGATTCATCTGTTATTTTCGATAAGCTCGAGAAACCAAGTTTGACGTGTCCTTGATATTTTCGACGACGACTCGTTACCAAGAAACGACATTGTATCTTCTTTTTCGTCGCTCTTATTGTTGACAGATTTCTGTTCATGTAAATGCAGTTTTCAGTCACGACTTTAAATGTACCAATCTGTCGTTTGATTTAAGATCGTTTTTTAGTGCGTTACGAAAATTGGTGGATTTATTGAAAGGCTCAAAAAACTGTGAGATTGAAAAGATTAGAATTTTGAAACTTTTTTAAAAAAAGAATTCGAAGGCTTAATAATTCAGAGACGAAATTATAGAAGTTAAACTCAGAGACACGATGATCTAGAAATTTAATTACTCCGAGACTTGGCGGTTCAAAAATTAAAAAACTAAAATCTTCAATTCAGAAACTTAATAGTTCAGAGACTCAAAGATAAAAGAAAAGCTAAAAAACTTAATTTTAACGTCCAATAGCTCAAACACGTTCACAGGCTCACACGCTCAAAATCCAAAGTGCTCCAAACTACAACACATTAATCCAAAAGCTCAGCAACGTCCGAGCCTCAAATTCTCTAAAAACAATTCTCAAACTTTCCATTTCACTTCACACCAAGTTTCATCTCGCAATTATTATTACGAACAACCTTACGACTCAAGTGCGTCTCAAAAACGCAGCGTCCAAGAATTCATCTCCACCTACGATGCAGTCGATTTGCATAATCGCGACACGCGCGAGCATCGTGCGTGAAATTGCAACTCGAGAGAATTTAACCGCACGCGAGATACAGAATAGACCTATTTAACACCTAATGTGTTTCTCTGTCCAACGTTTTGAAATACTAATCGTGAAAAAGTCAGAGGTTTTGTTACGCTCTCTACGATATGCAACAGCGAGTTTATGATAGATAAAGTCGACACGTCCGATGCATATACAGGCACACACACA